TTCTACTAAATAATTATTTCGAAAATCCCAATGACAGAAATTGGATCTTTCCAATATTCTCGAAGTGATAATTTGTTTTTCTAATGGTCTTTGCGCCACTCATGCTTGTTGGTTCATATTTTATCGTAAAATATGAACCAATAAATTTGGGACATTTAAAATCAAACACAAAAGTATTTTTCTTTTTGGAGCAAAGTATAATAGGATAATTTTTTACAAAATATGGTACCGTTTTCGAACGGGTGTCGTAGGGTGCTAACACCTTCCCTACGCTCAACCGACTCCCGAACCAAAATCTGTTTTTCGTAGACCAAGTTTTTAAAATAGGTGACCAATCACACCTCGTAGATGATTGGTGGCGACTCCAAACCCTAATCTCGAAAGAGACCCTTCAGACGATGATGTCGGCCGCTCCGCGTCGTGATGACGTTGCGACAGAGTACATGAGCGAACACCTTTTTGTACAACAATGGGTTTGTCCAAATCATCACTTGTTGTTTCGTGTACTATCTCAAGGACACTGGGATTTTACTGTAGATTTTGGTATTGCTGAATTTGTGTAGGTTGTATCTCGTTCCCCTCAGGCCGTCTTACTATTCGCGAATAAACTTGCATTCCAGGCTCAGGAATAGATATGAGATTTGGCTCAGACGAGGACACTAGAGGACTTTCAGGAGATGGGTTAGGATTTTCTGGGAAATTGGTTGAAAAGAAGGTCACGAAAGGTAGGAATGCAATCCTAATTATGTGGTTCAAGATCATAATGCTCCCATGAACAACAGAATTGGAAAAGTATGGTTGATTCTCGAATAAGGTGACATCCATGGTATGAAAGAATTTGTGATTTTTAGGATGATAACATTTGTACCCTTTCTTATTTGTTGAGTATCGAATAAAGATACATTTCATGGAACGTGCATCGAGTTTACTACGATGCAAAGGATATATATGAACAAAAGCAGCACATCCAAATAGTTTTAGTGATAGTGGAGACACAAGATGGGATGTAGGATAGAGTGTAAGTAGACTTTGTAAAGGTGTATTGAATTTGAGAATGCAGGAGGGTAGCCTATTTATGAGATAGAGAACAGCTTCACCCCAAAAAGTTTTTTGGAACGTGTGAGATGTGAGCATGAGGGATCGGGCTACATCGAGAAGATGACAATTTTTGCGTTTAACTACACCATTAGGGTGTGTCACACAAGAGCTCTGGTGAACAATACCATGAGATTGAAGGTAGGATCCAATAGTAGAGTTCAGAAAACCACGAGCATTGTTAGTTTTAAGTACTTTGATATCAACTTGAAACTGATTTTGGATCATTGTATAAAAGACTGTGAATAGGTGGCTAGTTCCAAATTTATCTTTCATAAGAAATGTCCAACTCAATTGGGTGTGATCATCAACAAAGAGAACAAACCAACATGCCCATTGATATTTTTTACTCTTGAAGGTCCCCAATGTCTCCATGAATAAGAGATAAAGGTTGGGATGGAGAATAAGTATGAGGTGAAAATTGATCACGTGTGTGTTTGGAGAGTTGACAAATTTCGCATCGAAAAAGCTGACTTTTTTTTTTATTGAGGAATAAAGAAGGGAACAAATGTTCAAGGTATGTAAAGTTGCACCAAGACGATAGTGCAACATCATGACAAGACTACTATCTTTATTTGAATTATTAAAAGACTTAGAAACACAAACGGACTCACGATGAGATGGAACTACAAGTTTACTGCTTCTCTTTGTTGGTAGAGTACGCGTTGCTTCAAGAAGATACAACCCTACATATAATTCAGCAATGCCAATCATCTTCCCCAATCCCAGGTCCTCAAAAATACAAGAATTGGCACAAAATTTAGTTTCACAATTTAAGTTCTTATTCAGCTCACTCACAGACAGTAGGTTATATTTCAATGTTGGCATAAATAAAATTGATTCAAGAGTTTAGGAGCTTGATATTTGAACACTTTCAATTACTTGAGTAGGTGTACTATCGGCAATGTGAACGAAATATTACTTGTATGAAGTTAAAAAGATGAGAACAATGATCTATCATCTGTCATGTGATATGATGTCCAGAGTCCACTATCCAGATGGAAAAATTAGAGTATGAAGAGCCATGGGATTTTGGTTACCTTGTTGAGGCACATTCACAGAACTACTTACTGTCAGTGTACTTGTTTTGTTCAAGAGTTGTTGTAACATGTCCAAAAAAAATTTGGTAAGTGGTTGTTGATTATAACTTTTAGAGACAGCAGCATTGTCCGTAGGTTCTCGATCCGATTTGGCAGTATCTGGCTTCCAATTTTCTGGTTTCCCATGTAATTTCCAACAAGTGTCTTTGATATATCTCAGTTTATGGCAATGGTCACACCATGGTCGCCCTTTACGTTGCCGACT